ACAAGCTTCTATGAGCGTATTTCTCGGATTCTTCAATCATTTTGTAATATTTAGAGCACCAGTGCGACTGTTTAAAAGTCCAGCAGCTTCATCAGACTCATTAGCATATATTTCGCAAAGCAAAAAAATGCCACTAATCACTGAGCTTTTGACAATGCTATCTGTCGGTAGTTTGGATCAGTAATAACTTTTTGGCACTTGATAATAATATATTGATGATAAAATGACAGCAGGCGTAGCTGTAGCTTACAACAAGACGTAATATAGGTTAGCGGAAGTAGTGCATACGAGGTCCTACCGGGATTTGAACCCGGATCGCTGGATTCAGAGTCCAGAGTGCAACCATTACACCATAAGACCACTCGATTTGAAAGGCATTTTACCAAAATACCAAGTAAAGCTTTTACACCCTGCAATAACAAGCGCATTGGTTTCTTGCTGTGCTGAAATGACGCTGCATCGACTGGGATTAGATGGATCGCTGAAGCTCAATTTTATCAAAATACTGTTTTGTTGTTATGAATTCTTACTGTTTTATTGCACTTCAAGTATGTTTTAACGAAACTTGGTAAAAATATTAAGTGATGACAACCATACGAGCTGACATGCAGCAGCTGCGCGCGTTCATTGACGCTAAAAAGCGCGGTATTGAGGATGCGGAGAAGCGATACGATGTACAAACCGCTGTTTATGAGTTGCGGAATCTGGCTGCACCGTTGCAGAGCCTCGAGCAATTTTCGCCAACATGGAAGGTCAAGATTGACTGCCTGGGACAATCAAAATATATCAATACTAATGCCCCACACTTCCACAGAGTCTCTATATTGACTTCTTCTATCGCGATGTTACAGCGTTCCTGCTGAGATTTGTAACTGTTCACCTGGAAGCATGCTTTTCAGAGCAGGATCGAGAGCAGGCGTTTGACATCTTCTTTGATCGTGCGATTGTTCCATCTAGTAAAGCAATTGGAGCTTTGGTGTCCACGCTTTCTGCCACAAAAATATCCGCACATGCAGCAAAGGAAAGGGAAGAAGACGATGTCGAGGCAACTACTGTTCAATGCATTCGACTCCTGGAAAAAGCTGTTAGCATCGATGGAGTACTGGACATCGTGACCGAAATGATAATGCAAGAACAGGTTAGAGTGTGAGTGCAGTGCTTGTGACTGATGAATACGTGCCTAAAATGTTTTGCGGAGATACTTCCCTTTTATATCGACTTTGTAGCAATTGACGACGAGGAATAGTCACAGTGTCATTGGTCACCAGGTCCTTATTTCACAACTCGCATCACTACCGGGTACTTTTAAGCACTAAGATTCTTAAGCGGTATGCTTACTGGTTGCTGTGTAAACAACATTGTTTGCAGATCTCATCTATAATCGACGTCAACGCAACACCCCAGCGGCATTTTACCCGCAACGATACTTTCCAATGCTTTGCGATTGCTTATTCCTTTGCAATTACAGTCAAGGTTCCCCAGGTAGCCAATCCAACACCTTCCGAATGTTTTTCGACAAATTGACTCGAATTGGGCAAGCACAAGCATTAGTCCAGAGCTGGTTACGCTCTATCGACACCAATTTAAAGTGGGAAATGTCTGCATGCCTCTTCCAAAGCGTTCCAGAGTCAGCATATGAGCACCTTCTTTTACATATTGCAGATGTAAAAACACCAAATTCTCTAAGCGCGCAGCAAGCTTTGCGTCTATCCAAGTACAGGCTTCTCGCACATATTCCCTCAGACGTGTGCTCGAACAAGCATTTTCAGTATGTCGTTGTCCACAAATTGTTACTCCGAAAGCCAATCAGCGATTTCTTCTTTTGGCGCGTGCTGGCTGACATAATGACTAAAGGCGAAGAGTGTATAACTTCGTCTGCACTAGCTGCCGTATTCGATTTGATACTCACGCGGTGGAGCCAAAGTGACTTCGCCGTCTCCACTGAGTATACTGTGAACGCCTCAGTGTGCTTCTTTCTGCGCTACAGTCTGCAAAAGCTCTCGGACAATGGTATGATGAAATCATATATAAAACAAGACTGGATCACGAAGCTTTGCAAGGGAATTCAAGACCACATGAGCCATTCGCTTGAGCGCGTACGAGCATTAGGCATGCGTGTGGGTGAGAGTTTGTCGCACATTATTGCATCCGAAAAGCCGTTAGACTTTGAATTGGTGGATCAAGACCCATTAGCGGTATATGGATGCCCCGTATTATATGAACAGCCTGAAACGGGATTAACTGATCTCAAAGCAGACGAGCGCTTGAACCAAGAGGCAAAATTGGACCAGAATAGTTCTAGTCGACAGAAACATTCTAAACATCGATCGGCGAAGCCATATACACTTGATCCCGACGAATTGGTGCTTAGTGATGACGGTGATGAGGAGAATTCCTTACAGAGCGATCGAGAATCGGGATCATGTTTGAACGATGCCGACTCCGACTCCGATATGAGCTTGGAAGCGTATGATTTGGAGGATGACGAGGAAGACTTAACAGCCAAGCGACCGTTGTATCTCAAAGATTTGATTGCTGGACTCTTGTCGGATGATAACCGCGAAAGAACAGAAGTGGCTTTGAACGAAGCCGAAGTCTTACTCCGTCGTACGCCGCGGGATCTGAAAGACAAAGCGCACGACGTGGTCCGAGCATTACTGCGGCTGGAGAACAAGTACAAAACACCACAGTTTGTCAAACTTAGGTTACAAGCTCTGGCAACAGCATGCGCACTTGCCCCGACTCAAACACTTCCGTATCTTTGTAGTCAGGCGCTGGAGCGTGAGCAACTGTTACAGTCCCGGATTGATGTACTCCAAGCAATGATCACGGCTGCTCAGGAACTATCTCAAAGAGGAGGTGGTAAACAATATAGTAACGCTCCCAAGACGCTACTGCGAGAGCAAGTTGGGAACGACTTGGAGACACGAACGATGCAAAGTCTGAAAACTCGTCGCTGGGGCTATCGCCGCGATCCATTGGTCGCACCAACGAAAAATGCATTCGCGCCCTACGCATTGCAATTTTTCTCGCCGCTATTATTCGGGTACGTTCAATATATGCAAAAGTTCTCGGACAATTTTGGTAAGGCACGAAGTGAGATTGAGCAAATGTTTCTGGCGCACTTACTGCACGCTCTTGCAAACTTCGTCGAATGCGCGGGACATTCGACGCAAACGGTGGCAATGGCAAAATGCTTGCTTGAATTTTCTTGGAGTGAAAGATCTTGCTCTAGTGCCGAAGTCCGTCGTCAAGTGCTCTTCAGTATCAGTCGTGTGTTGCTCGTTGTTTCGCCTACACTTTTGCAGCGGGAAGTAGGTGATGTTCTCGTAGAGATCGCTCCGTGGCTGCATCAGGTGCAAAATCATGACCCGGACGCTGGTTGTCGTGAAGCAGCGCGGATGCTCAATACGTGCGTGATTATGCCAGAGGCTTCCATTTCGCTCTCATTTCTATCCTAATATTCACATCAGTGGTTTATGAATGCCGTCAATCTGATTTATTTAGGATGATTCGGCTGCTGAAGCTTTGCGAGGCAGGAAAAAATATAAGCTGTTTCTTCGCAACTTATTCTGTTATTTGGACTCAATGCATGAATTTGAAGGAATACAGGCATAGTGTCTGCCATTTAAATAATAACTGAGCTCAAAGTTTACTATGTTGGGTTGATCGTCAAGCTCGGTTTGCTACGCCTTCTGCACTTCGTGCCGCCATCGTACGTGGAGATTTGACATGTGTGATACGTTGAGTCGAATCATTGTAGGTGCGCAGAAGGAAGTGACATACGGTAAGACCGACTAAAGCATATCGGTCATATATTTACAAAATATGTCTTTTGAGGAGAAGTAGACTGGACTGCATCAATAGTGTCCGAGCTCAAGAGAAAGCTTGTACTTCTTGTCGTTGCTGAAACTTTCAATTGAGGTCTCATATAATCAGTTTATTGAAAGTTAGCGACTTTCATTGGAGTCATTTACAATATATACCCTTTTCTACATAAAAGCAAGCTATCGGAACTAATGTTGGTTTCCATAGCAGTGTCAATATTGCAAAAATCTTTGAATACAGGTACGCTGACTTTGAACGCCTTGTCAGCTCCACTACTGCCGGATTGTAGGATCTCGCCACAAAGAAACTCTGCGTTGACTGTAGTTCGCCTTAGCGCTGGTCAAAACGTGAATCGCATAGAGCCTGAAAGAAGCGCTTTTCGATGCGTATTCCTGGCGCTGTTAATAGCAACAGGACGAAAACTTCCTGTCTTGGTACTTTAAAGATAAAAAACGGGTATCTGTTGTGTTGCAAGCCTAGAATTACTAATTGGTAGGTTTAATCGAATTTGTTATCTCATGCAAGACACCCACATGAGCCGAGCTAGCATTATCGTTATATCAGCAGTACAACGTGCAGTCTCGCAATCAAGATAATATTTCAGACTTACTTTGTTAAAAATCAAAATTGTATGATATAAACTTAACGCTTGTCTCATGAGTTTGCAATCCGCGCGTCTGATACAAAGGATCACCATCGAAAGAGCCGTACAACTTATTACCCACGAGTACAATCCAGTCCTGTGTAACCTCCTTTTGCAGAAACAGCGCTGGATAATGACATCCCACAGAAGATCTCTGGGTGCACTACAAAGTGGTTTATGATCGCAACCTTGCAGCGCTTTTCATGCGGGTCTGTACTCTGTCCCTAATATAACCTTTATAAAAAAAAGTGGCATTGTCAACGTCTCACCCTGGTTTCTAATTCAGAGAAGCTGCACGGCGAGCAACGCTGACGTCATGATCAGATATCCACATATACTTTCGATTGCATGGTGCAGAGCTGATTGTAAGCGAGCAGCTCAAACGGTGCCGATACGTACAGCGTTTTTTATATTTATGATGCTTATTATAATTTGGACGGTCTTTTGATAGTAAGAACTTTTAATCCCGTTCTTACTCCCCGCTTTCATTTTCCGCGTGATTTCATCGGCTTGATATGAGCTTGTCTTTTCAACAATGCTTCTGTTTTCCAAAGCTCTCCCTTCCCATTTTTTCTGCAAAGTCGGAAGCAGGACGTACACGTAAAGGCACTCCAACCACAAGAAGATAAAGCGTGACGAAAGCGTATGGAGGGTTACAAGAATTGGGGCGCCAATGTCCCTCATGAGAAGTGTAGAAGTCGGAGCCAAGAAGGCCTATTTGGTGACACTACGTGCCAGTCAGTCAAAATGACGGCATGTATCATCCTTTTCAGCGATACACAGATCAGAAACTGTGGTCTACGCGTTTAAGTATCTTAACATGCTTTTGTCCGACGTCTTCTGGATGCTCTACCACACTTGGATGACGCAGCTAGCAACACTTAAAGGCCACTCAATAGGGGTTGCGGTTGGGCGGTGAAGCGAGGTTACATGTGCTTATAGGATGAAGACAGTATATCTTGAATGCTTTACTACACACAATTTGACGGCAAAAATCTTTGGGCAACATGGCGCGGCATGTCGCTTGGATTTCAAAAAGTATATAGCAGGGAATAAAAAGTTCCATTTTCTGCTTTACACTGCAAAATGAAGCATTTTAATTTTTTTTACAGCGCTTTAAGGGTCAAACCTATACGCTTGCAGGTTTGGATTTGACTCGAGAACGTCATGACCGACTTGCTATTAAGTCTATGGTAAACACCGCCAAAAGCGTGCCCTTTCGGTCGATTATTGTATTTGATATATGAAGCGACATTATCACTGTTAAAAAGGGCTAGCTCACAATTAAAATATAGCGTTAATTACAAAGCGACAGTTGCGTTCAGAAAGTAGTTTTCGTCGAAACGACAAATGCACGTGAGTGCGATTTTAGCGAGCCTGTGAAAAGGAGGTCACTATGAGAATTTTGACCGACCACACTACGTGTACTGAACACGAGTATGAAGTAGTTTGTATATTAGCTGTGTTTATCGTTTCTGATTTCTTGTGTGGTAACGTGATTTTGGAATGAGCTTTAATCTAACTCCTTAGGACGTTTCGTTGAACACAAAACTGAGGTCGTCTGAGGGACCATGTTTAATGTAGTCTTTTAACTTGACGTGATGCTGACACAACCTCGATTTGAGCGCTCATCGTGTTGAGGGTATGTCGAACTAGCACACAGCTCTTTTTTTTTACGTGAAGCAGCATTACTTGTAAGACTAACTTCAAATCCTTTTAAATTACCGAAAAACAAGAAAACAACCCAAAGGCTTGCAAGAACTAAAAATGTTTTAAGAATGAGTTATATATGTCACTGGTAATGTCCTATCATCACTCGCAAAAACCAATTCCACCCACTTAACAAGCCGTTCTGGTCGTTCGACACTTGTACATTGTCCATAGCAAGCTGCGCTGATACGGTGTCCACAGTCGTTATGGAGGCTGTATCATTGCTAACGTGATCACGTTTGCTATCAAAAACAAAATTTGCTTAAATGTAACCTAGACAGCATTTATCTCAATTTGGTCTCATTTTGAAACTGCAGACACGATGTGTGACGTTACTAATCCTTGTATTTTACTACCAGCTGTAATCTATCAAGCTAGGTACACGGCCTATTTGTGTGCCAGACAGAAGGGTGTATAACTGAGATGTAAAATCTCATCAATTCCTCAATAGAAGACAATGCTACGAAATATGAACTTTAGCTTCACTATTGTCTGACAGTTGGATATCAATTTTATGTTACCAAAAATAAGTGGTGACCAGGCATGTAATTGGCATATTGGGCTGGAGAATATGTTGCTTTGTAGGTAGCAGTCAAAATACAGATACGTTACTGTATGTAAGGGGTGAAAGCCCAGTGTCAGACCCACCAGGGTGTGGAGGGGCTTAAGCGTCGTGAGAGACTGATTTATTGCTATTCATCATTCAATTACAGCTATCGATAATGTGACCATGTTTTTTTTGACAAATATAATCTCCATACTCTTTTCAATAAGAACAGCCATGACTTGAGCTCGTAAGACTTCTAGTCTTCCTCAAACTTGTTGGGGGTAATAGATTCCGTTGATGGTTGTTCGACCACCACCATCACTCATGACAATCATTGAAGTGAGTCTTGTCACATTTGTAAGGCACGATAGTACTCGGACAAAATGTCGTCGCACTTGAGATTTAGGAGTCAGGTTTGAAAAGAGCGCAAATTTGTAAGCGCAACAAAAGATTCAATTATTTTTACCTGAAGCGAATGATCCACAAGTTTGAAATCCAGCATCCGTAATTTCAGCTTCATTCAAGGCATCTGTGCAGCACAACATGATACGTTAATGTTATTATTAGTATGTGCAATTGACCATCGTAGAACTAATTGAAATGGATCGGTGGGAATGTTAAATCTGGAGGTTTAGGTAATCGGATTGGTGGATTCGAAAACTCACAATTGAACATGGCCCTAAAACTTATTTGGACCTGATTTGCTATTATTACATTTACTAGAAGAGCTTTAATTAGCACACGAACCGGTATTGTCACTTTTATATAACACATGGCTATTGTGTGACATACGTAAACCGCAAATCGTTCATCGTCGCCCCCCTTCTTTCCGCGAGTTTATATTGATTCAAGCATCAAGTCTTAGCCCAAGCATCAGGACGAGCGAGGTGGCGGCTGTTATCTCCGCAGCAATCTTTCTATCGACAGTATACACTGATCGTATCTACCACCATACATCGTCTCGATCTTTTTGCACTCTGCTTAGCTGTTTTGTGCTTGAAAAGACGCAAGAGATGGCGACTGTCGACGGATCGCCCGGGACTTCCGTCAGATTGACAGAGCTCGGGAAGGCTTTAGATCAAGCATCTATTTCTAGTGTTGGCGCTATAGGGTCACCCGTTAATGCTACTGAAGTGGGAATCGACGAGGTTTCTAGGGCTCGGACGCTTAAGCTGCCAGCTAAGAGCCCAAAGAAACGTGGACGGACTGACAGTTTGAAAAAAATGCTTCCAGCGCCAGTTTCACAGCGTCACAAGCAGATACCTATCTCTTATCATTCTGGCAAAAGCATGGAAGAGGAATTGTCGCAAGAGAATCCGCTGCAGCCGCAACGATCCCAGGCGCAACCTGCAAAGTTGATGGTGAAAGATCGAAAAGGGAGCGGTATGGGTGTTCCACAAGCTCATTTAATACTCAATGCGGTGAAGCAAGCTCCACCTGCAAAGGAAAAATCGAATCCGAGACGTTGGTCAAAGCATGAGGATGAGTCGTTAAGGTTAGCAGTCGAGAGAAGTGGTGAGCGCAATTGGAAGGCAATAGCTGATCAGGTACCAGGGCGAAATCATACGCAGTGTCTTCAACGGTGGACTAAAGTGCTTAAGCCAGGTTTAATAAAGGTAAAGTGCGCATACCATACGTCGTTTCTGCTTGCTTATGATCAATTATGCTGAAATAGGGTCATTGGACACCAGAAGAAGACTTAAAATTGAGAGATTTGGTGGCAGAAGGCAAAAAAAATTGGGGTCAAGTAGCTTCGCTCATTCCGGGTCGAACGTGAGTTGATTTGCTTGAAAGACAGGAAAGTTACTATGTTTACGTGCAAATTGTTGCTACTTTTATTTACAGCTCCAAGCAATGTCGAGAACGTTGGTGTAATCATCTGGATCCTAACATCAATAAGGGGTGAGTCTGTTTGTCAACTATTGGCATTGAGGTACGGGTGATGTAACGTTTCACACTGTTTTTGATACCAGATCTTATACAGAGGACGAAGACAGAATTATCATGGAGATGCAAGCCAAGTTAGGCAATCGCTGGTCTATAATCGCTCAGCAGCTCAAGGTTTGACTGAACATTATTGTCGTCATACAAAAACCAGGTGTCTTACGTCGACGCTTTCACATTAGGGCCGAACCGAGGACGCCGTTAAAATTCGGTGGAAATCACTCATGCGAGGACGGCGTGCTGCTTTAAAAGAAGATAAGACTTCTGTTTCCACCGCTGTATCGCCTATCATAGCATCAGGAAGCGCCGCGTCAAGTTCTACTTCCGACACTGAATCACATAAATTGAAATCATCTCAAGCCAGCCCTACGTTGCGCAAAAATCAGATATCATCTTCCACAGCAGCCACCATAAATACAAGTCAAAATGCGACAGTGAAAAAAGAACAGGAAATGGTACTGAAAACATATTTTTAATCGATGCTTCTTGGCAAGTATGGACCTTCAACAAAGTTTGCTGATAAGATTCTTTTGTGAAGAATACGCAGACATTTTCGCGGCCAGATATCGCAGCAGTTTTGGAAAATTCGATGCAAAATGTGAGTGACCTTGTGGCCGCGTCAATACACAATTTTCAGATGAGTCAACGCTATCATCCGAGCTCGGCTCTGCATGCTGGCAATGCTGCACTTGCGAACAATTTGAATCAGCTAATGCCCGCCGTCGCACCGGCTAATCAGCAGTCGCCTGTGGTCTATGCGATGAATGACGGATATAATGCGAGCATCCAGCAACAACAGTTGCTGCTGCATCAAAATTCGTCGCAGCATCAACAAATGGCTCCATCGTTTCAGTATCCACCTGGGTTTACGATGCAACAGCAAACCCTTGGTGTGATGCCAAATTACGGGTTGCCAACGAATATTTCGACCTCGAACGAGATGCAGATGCAAGTAAGTTTTATACCACTGGTTGGATATTCCATTGGCATATATCTGACGGGGCTGACGATGAGGACATGTTTAACTTAGGTGTCGACATCAATGCGGCGTTCGTTGTCAATGCCCTTGACACCTACATACTCATCACAGGTTATGGCGATGGCACTGGCAAATGTACCGTATCAGCACCAATCGATACCTTCTTCTGCGCCTCAACATGGTTTCAGTGGTGCACCCCTTCACCCGCGCGTCGCTTCTTTAAGCACGCCATCTGGAACATTGTCGCAGCCTATGGTTGTTCCGCCGATCAGTGGAGGTGTTGCCACCAACAGTGGGAACCTTTATCAGAGCAATATTGGGGTCCCTTCTATTCCAGGGGCTGCGGCTGCAGCTGCTGGAGCAAAAGGACTTAACACTCCACGAGAAGAATGGGGTTCTTCACAAACCCCGCGGTCTCGAATGATTATGACGGAAGGCCATGCATCTGCATACGAGCTGTTTCATCAGCAACGACTTCGTTTAATGCTACAGGAGCGCGATAAACAAGGGATGACTCTCTCATCCGCGCCATCCCCTGGTCAAGCGCTGCTAACCAAAGAGTTAGAGGCGAATAAGGAGCGGCAAGCACGGCAAGCTATCATGCAGAAGGGATGGAAAAGTGCTGTTGAATCAATGGTTTCTTTTAACAGCGTCAGCGTACGGGACAATGTTTTTTGATAAACCCCTTGGAAATGGCTAAGACCTTGTATTTCATTGACGATTGCAGGATCTCTCAGCTTTGGAGGATCAGCAGCGGTATGATGGGCTGTTAGAGAAAGTCTCATTATCTGCCCTCGATCCGACAGACGACGAGATGCTTGACCAGACTGTTGAAATTATATCGGGAGGTATGCTTTATATAATGTCAAGAGAATGTAGACTTGCTAATGAGTTTTGAGTGCGTACAGATGACACAGTTGATCTATGATCGCACACCGAACTTGTAACATGGAAAAGAATATTTTTTTCTTGCTTGCTTGTAAAGTTGTACATGGCACCGAGTAAGTTAAAGTTATTGAAATTGACTCGACAAACATCGATGATCAAGTCTCGCTAGTGCATTAATATTTCTTTCATAAGCGCCATATTGTCAGCTTCGGCTTAACGAAACCTTCCAAATGCTTTCTTTTGGTAGATTTAGAATGTGATGAGCCTTAGCAATTCCTCATCAAAAGAAAATAAATGTGGTTTAAATGAAGATTTCTATTCGTTATTATTCGTATTGTCCTCGTCGTCATCATCCTCGTGATAGTCTTCATCATCTAAATCCACGACCACAGGGAGAACAGCCAGAGCATACAAAACTAGAGCTGCAATAGCACCGATAATTACGTTGAGAGATCCCTTTGTAAATTGCTCGTTGTGACCCTCGTCTGCATTCAATTGTTTCTCCTCTTTCTCGTTCTTCTTCTTTTCTAAAACCTCTAACGCCAATTCTCGGCGACTCCAGTCCAAACTGCGATATGGCTCCAGGAAAGCCACTTGCAATGGCGGTGATATCTTTTTCATAAAAGCACTATCCAGCATTGTAGTACAAAAGTAATTGGGCTGGTTCTCCGAGTACAACACCTCTTCTCTAAGACTCGTTGGTTGGTCACTAGGAGCACAAAAGTACGCGTCACGAATGCGCTCTGCAAGTGCGATGAGCAGTGGAGCATGTTGATGTACAGCCGCCATCAGCTGCGTGTTTCCTAATGCTTCAACAATGTGACCGAACACGGCGACATCTAAAGCACTCGGTTGGTTTCCAAAATAGAACGGTGTGCCTGCGCTTTCCAACTTTGTGTTAAGTGCTGTGTAACAGTCCCGAGCAATAACGTAAGCTTGCTCTTTAGTCGAAATGCCATACATACGTAACATTTCCATTGTATCCATATGAAGTTTCTTGGGCAAAAAGAGATTTAACGGAAAAGGAATCTGGCGCTTCATGTGCGGTCGCGTGACTTCACGATACGTAGCCGAGTCGACCCAGCGGCAATATGATATTACACGCTGCAGCTTCTCAGATAGCATTAACCGGTACGCGTACGACTCGCTACGCTGAGCATCACTCAAATATTCGTCAATGTCTTTGTGAAACTGCAAAAATCCATTACAATTGTTAAGACTACAGCAATGACAATATTCTCAGAGATAACGATATCCTTACCGTCTGCAAGTGCATTATGATCTCTGCTTTTGGCAGCAAGAAGTTGCCATCACTCAGCTGCGGCAATTCACCTGTCAGAAGAGTTTTATTACAATTAATTCTTTCAAAAGCCGGCCAAAATCTGCCTTTTAGCATCGTACCGGTGGCCTCATATACCGGATATCTTGAGTTGTGCACATGCAACCGGATGCCAGCAATACGCAGATAAGCTTGCACGTCCCACGCAGGCAGAAATTGGTGCAGGACAAGCGTTGATCCAAGTTCCGTTGAAGTTTTTGGTGTATGATCTAGTTCCGTTGCTGTTAGTAAATCGTCATGCAGACGGTTGGCGTCCGGCCTTAGCGGGTGGAAGCGGTCTTCTGGAAACATGTCAGTATTACTGGCTTGGTCTCCACTACAAGTGTGTAAATTATGTACCACTTTCACTTTTCTAGGTGCGATTCACGTCACACCCAACCAATCTAATTCTCATTACGAGGAATTAGTGCACGAAACGGCGCCGAGGCTAAGGTAGTCGCAACCATGGCGGACACGGTACAGATTACGATGGAGAAAATGATTCCGGAGCTAGAGGATTTAGAGGCGCGGAAAATTTTTACGAAACATGAGATACGCCAAATTGTGGACAAGCGCCGTAGCTTTGAATACTCACTCAAGCGTGTTCCCCTGCGTAAAATTGACGCCATGCGCTACATCGAGTATGAACTTCAGCTGGATGCACTCCGTGCGATGCGTAAGGAACGCTTAAATCTTGTGAAGGTCACACTGGGTGATACGGCCGGCGTTAAGCGAGTACACAATATCTTTGACCGTGTTCTGTTTAAGCACCGCGGTAGCATCGAGCTCTGGCTGCAGTATGTGGCGTTTTGTAAACGAGAAGGAAGCAGTCGCGTGCTGTCCGCCGTTTTTTCCAGAGCGTTACAGTCAAACCCACGGTGTGCCGAGCTCTGGATCGAAGCGGCGTCATACGAATTTGGAGTGAATCTAAATGTGGATTCAGCGCGTGTGCTCATGCAGCGTGCTATTCGTCTGAACAAGGAGAATCGTAAGCTTTGGATCGAGTATTTTCGCTTGGAGTTGCTATACGTGCAGAAGCTGACGATGCGTCGCCAGGTCTTGCGCTTAGACGACAAGACAGAGAAGTCTTTGGATGAAGACGGATCGACCGTTCTGATTGATCAGCTTCCAGAAGAACAGGACGATCAAGTAGAGAAGTACTCCGAAGAGATGACAACCAAGATGAATGCTAGGAAGCTGATACTTCAAGGTGCGATTGCAAAAATTGTGTACACTAATGCTATAAGTGCGATTCCGAACGACGTGTCATTCCGACTTGAGTTTGTAAAAATTCGTGACTTTTTTGGCTCAGTCATGGCTGCTGAAGTATCTGACTTTATACTAGAAGACTGCTTGAATAATTTTCTAAATAGCGAGGAGGTACACGTTTCAAAAGCACTACGACCTCTCCTGGTTATTCACGGCAATACTGCGGTTGATGTACCGGAGACGATGGGCACTTGTATGTCGGAGGCTGAGCGTGAGGCCGAGGTAACGGTTGTGCGCAACTTTGAGGATAGTGTTGCCCAGCTGGGCACTTTTTTGATTAAGGAACTTTTTGCAGAGTGGATTTTGACCCGATTGGCCTCTTTAAGTCAAACAGCGTTCTTGCTTGAACATGCACGAGTAAAGCTGAAGGAGTTTGCGTTGACTAAGTCGAGTACTTCTTCGCTTGCCATCAAGTACGTGGATTTTATCCATCGCACAGATGGAACGAATGAAGCTCTTTTGGTCGTGGGGGAGATCTGTGATAAGTGGCTACCACAGTCGTCGGAAATGTGGCTACTGCAGTCTCAGCTTGTGCTTCATGCAGATTATAATGCGAAAAAGCCAAAAGATTCGTCTTTAACTAAGCGTCGCCGCACCTCGCGTAACTCGCGGTCGAGATCTGCTGGCTCGGACAACAATTCATTGGTGACTGCCATATCAATATTGGAGACAGCCCTGACGAAGGTTGCCGCAGACGATTACGAGGCACAGTTTGCGATATATAGCCGCATTCTTCAGCTGCATATTAGCAATGGTGGGTCTTCCAGCGTCATTGAAAAATTGTTTACGGAAGCCCTCGGCCATCAGAAGCGTGGCTCGGTGCATTGGAGCAATCTACGACACCAATTTGTAGCATGGTCTGCAAGTATAGCATCTCAGCGCTCACTTGAGCATGTTCGCGCGTTGTACACTAGGTTTATGGTGGACGAGCAGTTGTTGCAGTCTCCTGAGACGTATTCATTCTTGATGTTATGTGTGGATATTGAGACATCCGCAACGTCAATAAATGTCAACAAAGTGCGCGAATTATTTGAGAAACTTATCGATTTGTTCGGTTCGACGCACGAGGAAGTTTGGGTGCAGTATGTGCGCTGTCTGACTGAACGTCTGGCCTTGTTTGGCGATGCTATGCGCGTGCAACAGCGTGCTCTACGTGTATGGAAGGAGTCTCCTGCTCTCACGCACTTAGCCTCGATAGGTATGTAGATAGATTGTCGTTGCTTCAATCTTATAGAATGGTGCACGCAGGAGCAAAGTCGTCTGATATTCATTACGATTCTCTTAAAGTCATAGAAATGTATTTGGCACCAAGCCATGTATCTAATATCGCAATTGAAAAGTAGATTGTTTGAACAGCCGCTTGTCCGTCGTAATGGTGATCACCGTGCCTCAAATTGAATAAGCCGCTTGGTACGCGCCTTGTACATGATGCGATAGCCACATGCACGACAACGGATTGGGTCGCGTGCTGACAGGTAGTTGATAATGCCACAGTCACCACAAATATATTTGATCTCAGGGTCCTTGTTCATGGAGGTGCTAGCGCTAGTGCCAGCACCTGCCGCAGGGGTTGCTCCGCCATCCATGCTACAGTCTTGAAATTGACCTTTGCTCGCTTTTGACCAATAAAAGAAATTGACAATAAATAGGTGAAATTTACACTCTCCATCCATTCGCTCTTTTACTCTGTCACAGCGTCAGCATAATGACCACCATGTCGAGCCACATGCCTACCATGTAAGTCTCTGCACGATCTAAGGTCACTTATAAGTCTCCTCTTTTTGTTGACCTGATGAAATCACGTGCTATTTGATACTAAATTCACGCTTTTTGCTTAAATGCAGTTTGTGTTGCATGTGTGCGACGCCTATCGTGGCAAACGCTGCTAATACATGTGTAAGCTGTCTCAAGTCACAAGTAGATGTAACTGAAGGCATTCCCAAAGAGGTGATTATTCATCAGTGCAGAGGCTGTATGCGTTGGTCGCGTCCACCTTGGGTTGCTGCTGATCTTGAGTCCCGTGAGCTTTTGGCTTTGTGCCTGAAGAAGATAACAAATCTTAATCGCGTTAAGCTCATTGACGCCAATTGGGTTTGGACAGAACCACATTCACGTCGCCTTAAGCTCAAATTGACGGTGCAAAAGGAAGTTCTAAGCAAGATGATCATGCAGCAGGCATTTGTTGTCACTTTTGTAGTGCGCAACCAACAGTGTGATGCCTGTCAGGCTTCATTTGCCAATCAATCTTGGCGCGCTGTGGTTCAGGTGCGCCAACGCGTGGATCACAAGCGTACGTTCTTTTTCTTGGAGCAACTTATATTAAAACACCGCGCTCATGAAAAAACAACAAACATTGAGTCCCATCCGGATGGTGTCGATTTTTTCTTTTCGGAACGCAATCATGCGCTACGTTTTGTCGACTTTTTACAAGAGTCTGTGCCCATGAAGGTGAAGACAGCTAAAAAGCTCATTTCTGCTGATAATCACAGCAACACGCACAACTACAAGTTTACGTACGCTGTGGAAATTGCGCCTGTATGTAAGGACGACCTCGTTGTGCTACCAGTCAAGCTGGCTCGTATGCTGGGTAACATATCGTGTCTTTGCCTTATACAGTCTGTTACATCTTCAATTCATGTTGTTGACCCGTTCACCACTCAAGTGGCTGAGATTGATTCCGAGAAGTACTGGCGCTACCCATTTCATGCGTTACGATCTATTAAAGCCATGTCAAATTTTACCATTCTCGATTCAAGTCCAATGGCCATACCATCTGGTGGAGGCCGTGCGATCCGTGTTAGTCGAAAGACTCGACTGGCTGATCTAGAAATTGTTCGTGATGTCGATTTCGGAGTCAATGATACTCGTTTTCGCACTGTAAGCCACCTTGGCATGATTTTGCATGCAGGTGACTCTGCTCGTGGTTATGACCTCACTTCTGCTGTGTTTAATGACGCCGACCTAGTGCCTCTTGTGCAGTCAGGCATATCCATGCCTGATGTGGTGCTTGTCAAGAAGACGTTTCCAAGCAGAATCCAAAAGCGTACACGTAACTGGAAACTAAAGAAAATAGAAGGTGTGGAGCAAGCTGGCACCGTTCGAAAGACCGATCTGTCGAAAGAGGAACAGGACTATGAACAATTTTTGGATGAACTTGAAGAAAATAAGGATTTGCGATCACAAATCAACCTTTACAAGGACGAGACAAAGTTGTCGGAACGAATGGAGGATAACAATACTTTTGAAGAGGATGATGCTGGAGCTCCCGCTGTGGAATTGCACGAGCTTCTTGATGATTTGGTTATGAGGGATGATGAGTCTGCTCCGCAGATTCTGTCCGATGTTGAGTCAAAACAGACGCTTGCGTGGGAGCTGGAGGAACTGTAGCTGGTGGATTGTTATTTTGTGCCTCACTAATTACAAAATTCACAACATATTTGCTAATTCCTGGCGGGATATAGTAGCATTGTACCGCTAGGTATTAAAAACGCCAACAATACAAGCTATAAATGAGCAAAATGGTGTAAATAATGGAATTAAAGATTCCTGTCCTATCTATCTATCTAACGCTGATGGGAGAGTATACAACGACGGGTATAATCGTAACATTGGCTCTCACTTGAACCTCTTTATCTGCTGGCTGTGTTCTGCAGGATCTTAGCAATTGACGCAAGGATATCAACAGGTAACTCCACGACGGCGTGGCGTCGACCAACGGCTCCCCGCCGTGAGAGCTCATTCTTGTGTTCTTCATTCAACAGGCATTCGCCCGAAACGCTTGGAAAAGTGTGTACTACTAGTCTAGCAAGCAGCATCTTAGACTCGCTCGGGCTGACTTCGTGGGCTGCAATCATGATAATCGAGATACTGTCTGAATCTTGCAAATTGCATTATGGCAGTACTAGTGCTCTCAAGTTGCTCGAATCCGCTTCGGTTGGCGAACGCTGATATGCCATAAAGTGTAGCGGTTGTTCCGATATTGCAGAACTGGTCCAGAACTGTGTTGAGATGAAACTAACGAGTTATACTCGTGTCGTCACTAACGACTCATTGGTATATTTTACTCAGTTGTATGATTGTGCGTGCAAGGCTCTGCCGTTACAATAATATATACATCACTAATGAAGAGATGCGACTCGCGCCTTTTCAAACACTTGAGACATCTTACCATCCTCTACTAAAAAAACGATCGGGATACCGCTATCTATAATGCTGTCTGCTCACCCTGAAGATTCAAGTCGTTGCTGGCGCCACACTAAAAGTAGTAGTAGAAAGACAGACTAGCGAATGTGCAAGCTAATATGGCAAGTTGTAATTGCAAGCTGACGTCCACTGATGTCGGTGTTACACCTCACTTTAAATTCTTAAAGTTGTAATCGTGCGCCACCGAGATATTCTACTATATTGTGAAATTGTCGTACATACATATTTTAAGACTAAATGTGCGTACATTTATGATCTCTCGATTTGCCACTAGTCTAGTCCACTCAACTGCGTCGCTAAATTACGCAGCCTACTGAACATTTTGGCGTCGGCATTTCTCTCCCTGTATCCATGACAAAGGCGGCTTCAGCAGGGCTGACATTTTTCCGAGACTTAGATGTCTGCTATAGTGAGGGCTCAGTGCTTTTACTCTTAAAGCATAATGATTGTGCAGCTAATGCGTCCGATAGTTGATTATCGCTGTGATTGATTACCGATGCTATTAAAATTTGAATTCCGTAAAATATATATATAATTATAGAAATTGATGCTCTGCGGTAGATGCCCCTTGAAAAACTCCATGCCTTCTGCGAATAGCAATGTACCGAGCCTTAGGGTGGCAGCAAATGTAGATACGCTGGTATCTTGAGCATTATTTGAAAAACAAGAAATGCGACGATTAGCTTGAAATCATTCTCCTTGATGTCGAAATTGATGCCAGTATACCTCATTTCTAACATTTACTTATTTGATAACAGGATCCGATGCGACACACGTTGGCCATATTTGGGTTGAAAAAAAATCATCACAGTAGATCAAGATTTCGCTTCAGAATTGACGCTTATGAAAAAGAATCATAGAAATCATTTGAAGCGCGAATGATAAACGGAACAAGAACCATTCGCTTGATAAATTTTATTGGCGGAGTCTTTTGCTCCGATCTGAAGGTCCCAATCTTTTAAGAAGATTAAATTGAAAGCTGAGATATGAGTTGCAAAATGTACCTTTCGGTGAATTGAGACGATGGATCTGCTTATAAACGCTTTGGCGTTAGGCGGCAAGTGAGTGAAGTCAACATCAAAGTAAGTAATGAAAACTCAAATAGATACATGAAAAAGATGTGGGGGGTTATTGAAGCATGGGTCTTTGTTGTGGTTTCTCATTGAGTTACAGGGAGTATGCCGCTGAAAATGTGGTATATATTCCAAGAAGAGTCTCAGGAAGGCAAATCTCAACAGGATTTTGCACATTTGTGTTCTTACCAACAAAGTTCGCGACATTGTGCAGTTTTGCATCTTACGATGCTTTCTGATAGATCGCTGGCGGTTTTCTTGGCGGAGTCCCAGGCATAATAAACGGATGTCAAGCCTTTAGGCAAGCTCGATTCGGAGGTGCAGAAGCCAATGTGTGAATGGACAAATAGGCGGTTGACGCGTGTCTTACGCTCATTTACCATTATGCTCAAGCGCATCAAGTCAGACCAGGTTTCTCAAGTCAACTGGCATGCTGACTGTCTTGTTCCTGGATTATAGGTGTAGGGCTGTTTTGGATGTTTCGAACACTAAATTTAAGGCGATGGCGGGAAGTAGCATCAAAATGAACACGTCCTGGCTGTTTTTATGCATTATAGATCAAGTTCAATATGATTGCAACAGCAAGCGTGGAAGATTAGTACGCTGCAGCATAATTGTTCCATTAAATGGTGAGTACTGAGGGACCTAAAAATAAAGAAAGTATAGGTCGAGGCATACAAACTCGAAGTGAGGACCAAGTCTACATGTGGCAAGCGATGACAAGATTTTGTTATCACAAGGCTTGGCCTGTTGACCATGCATGGGTAGATAGTTGAATAATTAATTCTGCTATATCTCCTCTCCTACAAGTGTTACTTCTACGAGCTCTAACAGCGCCAACTCATAGCAACTCGACACATTGATCCTGTTTAGCTTGACAACTCAAGAATCATCGTAATGGGGTGAAGTCAGGTGCTAATGCTAAGTTCTGACACCATTCCCTGAATTGCAAGCGCTGAGCGGCGTGCTTGGTATCATTTTAGCTTTGGAATCTAACTTTTTAGATGTGCGATTTACCGGCTGGCTAGAAATGCTTCGACATCGTAGTTTTACGAAGGATGCAAGCAAATGTACTGCGTTCTCAGACTTGCTTCACCTGATATCATCAAACTGAAAGTATGACAGTTGCCGGCTCTGTAGGGTTTATCGTCGAGATTGTTATGTTTCTTTTGCTGAGAGCGATATCACCCGGCACCCAATCTCGCTTCTCGGCGTCTGCTTGCAGCAGTGTCCAGTCGATGGCAAAGTCTGAAGTGTCACAGACGACACTAAATGGACGATCGAGGTCTGGCAACACCAGTATTGGTGCGTAAAGGAGGCTGTTGTCAACCCTGTCAAACGCCTCCCGATGCTCGGTGTCCCAACACCATTCCGTATCCTTTTGAGAAAATTCGACAATAGCTTTTCCATTTCTGCATGATTTGCGCTAATCTTGTGCAAGTAGTTGGCGAGATGGTTTTCGGAATCAGGTCGATTTCATGACGCACACCTCAGTCTGCTGCCACTTGTAGAGTTCGCTCTGAATAATACAGTGCATTTGTCTACCGGCTACTCGATGTTCTACGTGCACAGGCTTGTTAATCCTCGCACCCCGCTGACGCAGCCATTCCATAGCTCAAGCTTGGCGGGGAGCAATAGCCAAACAGCTAGCTGTTGTCAGCCTCCTCACTGTCCCTAAAGAAGTCGATGACCTCCTGTCTACTAGATTGAGTGTCCCAAGACACGTTCGCGATGATGAGATGGTTGACAGCCATGACATGCAGAAAGAATATGCAGACGGAAGAAGCAGAAGAGATGTTGAAAACTTTGAGTTTGGCATTATTAAATGCTACAACTCTTCCTACTCGTGCAGCTACTGCTGTCTTTAAGACAAAACTCCGTCCAAGTTGTTTTGGATCTCTTAAGGTCGTGGTCAAGCGAACCCTTTTGTATACGCTTAACCTTTCGAGAAGGATGCGCACCCACGCATTGTTTTATGTGAGCTTGATTATGCCGTACCGAGAAGTAAATGCGGAAGCGCTGTCACCAGGGCGGCGCCGAAAGGCGCCTGGCCATCTAAAGCTTACAAGTAACTAGTTTTGAGCACGGATACAACGCTCTCTATTTCAAAGGCGCCAGGCGCTCCACCGTCGCACGAAGTGACGTATTCGTCTGCTCGACGGCTAGGAGCCGCTCCGACAGAGCGCGATAGTTCTCAATGTTAGGCAGTCGGTCTACAAAGTGCTCCAAGCTCACGAGGTCTACCGCACAGCGGTATGCAACCTCAGCCAGATATTCGGCGGATTGCCGATGGCGATTAACTTTGTCCTCTAGAGTTTGAGGAGCATCGCGAGTTACCGGTCGGCGATCAACCAAGTCGTTATTTTCCGCCGCCGACTTCTCCGATGAGAATGTTGGCCTCCACTATCAAGTGAAACGCCTTGTGAGGTTGATGTTGTCTACAGGGTCGAACCTCATATCTTTGAAGTGGCGGGGAGACCCAAACTTCGAGCGCTCGTGGGAGTTTGAGGTGCCACTTCGGCAAGACTACCTTGATGTCTTGGATGCTTATGATCAGAAGGATCATGACGCTTCGCGTCGTTGGGCGCCCCGTGATTCTCGAATATAGCCCGGGAAGCCGAGGGGCCACGAGCTGAGCCCAAGCTATCCTTCTGAGCCACTGTGGTCAAAGATCCACCCGTGTGAGAGACCACAGAGCTCGAAGGAGCGTGATGGATGATTTCATGTGTCGCAGGGCGAAAATACGTTCTACTATTTAATCAGGAAACCTGAGGTAGTTGATGTAGGCGGCTCTGCCGCAAATTGAGCAGATAGTTACAATTTCAATTTTGAACGAAAGCGTGTATTTGCCTTTGTTGAGGTTTAAGTACATTTGGAGGTAGCGGATTGTGATCCGCTACACTCGTACCGGGTCTTGTTTAGAAAGTAAGGTTGATGACCTTAGCTAAGCTTTTTCTAAGCAAAGAGCTACGCCCAGGGTTGTTGATTGTTTGAAATGTCTCGGGCTTTCCAAAGCCTAGGATTCGTCTAGAAATGTTCTATAATGTTGTTTAACTACGCACGATTCACAGTAAAAAGTACGCGGAGACTACGAAGTTGCCAAATACGGATACGATATTCGTGTGTCTTGCGAGAGGGCTCTCTTCTATGTATCAAAGGATATTTTGAGCTGTAATGGGCTACATCTAGCCATGATATGAAGGTGCATCTTTGTTTCTTTGTATGTGTTGTAAAAATTTAGGAAATGAGGTTTACAGCACGGTATTCCCAAATGCATTCGTGACATCTTGTATGAAGTCACGAACATATTGTGTGATACACAATACTGATTCATGCTGGGGGATCTGTACTAACGACAAGACCGACGTGTGTCTGGCTTTTGGAGTGGGGGGCGTAAGCCAGACACTTCTACTGCCTACTTTCCACGAGATTTGGAGTTCATGATTTTTGAAGTCCAAACTCCGACACCTAGGATCTTGTATAGATTCTAGCTGATGCTCAACCTCGGACCACCGTTTATAGTATAAATCAGAAATCCAAGGATTCGTATGTAAAAATCATATCAGTGTTTGCATGTAGCTAGAAAACATCAACTCATTTTAATTCAGTTGAAAATTTACCTTAAAGCCTTAAGTATTTCTCAAGTCGGGACTCTCCCTCCCCCCGCGTGTCGTGAATCGCCACCTCGTCGCACGAGCGTGTTTGTTGTTTTGAGTGGCCCTTGTAAACAGCGCCTTCTTACATGAACTTTTCAGATTTTTGACAGCGTAAAACGTTGTCTGATTTTGAATCTGAATTTTGGATAAGATTCTATTTTAGGTGGAGAGCAACGTGCCATGATCTGACTGAAAATTGAGTAAGCTAGAAGCCACGCTTCTCGCCTGATGGGGCATTGGCGAGTTGTCAACCGACGTCTGCTTGATGATTGAAGCGCTTTTAGCCTTTGCAATACTCTTCGCTTTTTTTCAAGCAGATATCAATGGGCATGATAGTGAACATGTTTAAGTCTTATCAGCCCAAGTGGGCTTTAAAAAAACTACCTTGTTCACGATTAGGTACATTTCGTGATAAATCATGTCTTCGTCAAGTTTATAGAAAACCTGCTTAGTTCTAAGCTACTCTTGCCTTCTATAGATCACGCATCGGTGCGCACAGCGACATCATCACCACATCTTGTACAAAAGACTGACAAGATCGTTATCGCTCTTTGCCGAGTATTTATCTGATATAAGGTAGAAACCAGGTGTGGCGGATTAACTTACTGTCGCTCCGACTATGAAATGTCCCATGCCAGAATATTAACATCGCCACATCAAATGGCGACATGTACAGCATACCGGTCATATGCAACTTGTGTTAAGCTAATGAAAACGCTTGGAAGCTAGGACTTTGAGAGCGTTAATGGTGCTGTATTGAAGCACGTGATGCACACCGGCACCGCTATACCATATTTTAAGACTTGCCGTATCACTGCCCTGAATCATGTGTTACTCAAATTGTAGTGATGCCTCATTATGAATACTTCGTGCACACGTTACTATACGATGTTCATGATTTTGGCCACCTGCTCGGTGTGCGCTATGCATTGGTTACCCAACGTGTATCAGTGGGCAGGAACATTGTGCACACGTATGAAACATGTCAACACCTGAAACCCTTTCTAAATGCGGCTGTACCATTGGCCAGCCAGCTGGTTTCGGCATAGTACAGGCTCTCGACAATATGGACTATACTTTTGGTCTTTCAGTAGATGTATTTGGCTATTCTGATGTTTTGGACTTTGTTGATTGTCTGTGCAGGATGGCTCGTCTAGCAGCAGACAGCAGTAATGTGACCGGTAGGATACAGCAATCTTACTTTGAAATAGAGTGAATTGTTAACATGGCTTGCAGGCAGCTTTTATGTCGGATTAAGATCCGTGCTGTATAGCAAAGTTTCTGCAACATTTTGAAAGTTGATCGTCAACGAAAAGACTGTAACACCGCTGACCATCCACAAACTGGTGGTCAGATGGAAGGGGAGAATTGCGTGTGGAGAATATCTTCGAAGCACTTGTGCTTAGAGACCTGATTTCAACCCAGCAAGTCAGCTCGACGTGAAGAGCTCTGTTACAGACACAGCCAAGTCTTTATTATTCCATGCAGCTAAGTAATCCTCAGCTTTAGAGCAGCGACACAAGCCTAAATTGCTGAGTTTGCTGCGCACCAGGCAGTGTGATGACAGAATTGAGAGACCAAATCAACCTCTGATTTACTTTAGACTAATGCACGTCGTGACTCCCGAAATTATTTGACCTGTTAAGAGCCGGCCGCGGAATGTTTGACATCCGGTAGCTGTGATCGTCTAGCAAGAGCCGGTCTAGTTCCACTTCGAGCGTTTGTAAGTCCGGTGAATACACAAGTACTGGTATCAGCACCTAGTGTAGTGGCTGAAAAGTCACTGTAGTATGAGGTGAAAATTCACTTCGTCAAAATTGCTTTGGTTCCGTGGTCGATTACTATCTGGCACACGTTGGTCTTTATGTTTCTTGCAGAAGAGGTAAGTCGTTCGTCACAGCGCACTGCCGACTAGTGAGTGGCACCCGACGTTGTTATAAATAGAATTCTCCGTTCGTTGCCATTACAGCTGTATAATGGTGATGAATGGGACCATTTACAGCGAGAATGGAATGACGACTTGACGTCAATATACCTCGCAAAGTCAAGCACAAGACGATGCTCTCGATGGATGCTCAATTAGATAAGCTAGCTCTTAAAGCTTGTTTTTCTCGTTCGGTGCACAATCTGATTGGCTATTTGCCAGGTTCTGGTATTTACACATCTTATGGAGGGTAAAAGCTTTCTTACCGCAGCAGTTTTCAAGTGCCGGCGGTCTTACTGTTAAATAATGTGAGTGGAGAAATCGCTTGGGGAGCGGCTTCTGCCATCCATTGTGATTTTAGTGGAATTGAACATCGCATGCACAGACGTGCAGGTGCTTCGCACCAGCACAACGATAACCTTTATCACGAAGTGATTTGGACAAAGCCAGCGTGACTCTTGCACTTGGAACAAATACAGCGGGGCTGCCGTAGCTTTGCGCTT